CCAATGGGAGCAAACAGAGAGTAAGCATAGGCGTTGGTTGTGGAAGTATTAATAAATTAACCTTCCCACAGAATGATCAGAAGAAGGATGTGGAAGCTGCTTGGAAGAGAGTAAAATTTATATTGCAGAGTGCCATGTAAGTGAGTGAACTTAGACTTGGAACTTAGAATAACTTTATTGTCACTTTGTCACTTTGAATGTACACTAATCAGCATACATTTAAATGAAATTTCCTTGCATGCAGCTCTAAAAAGGTCCCCAGCTTTAATATACACTACATAAACATGACAAGATAAATAAATAAATACAAAATTATGCATGTACCCACATATAATATATGAGATGGAGAAACAACATAGTCTAGTTTGGATTTATACATGTACACGGCGAGAGAAACAAATCTTGTGAGTTTACCAAACAGATGGCATAGGGAATAAAACTCCTGCTAGAAATACTTTGAAACCTCCTCCCAGAGGGAAGCAACAGAAACAAAGTATGAAGTGGGTGTGTGGGGTCTCTAACAATGCTTTGATCTCTAAGCACATAGCATAAGCAGTATATTGAATGACTGGAAGCGAGCTTCCTATAATCTTCTTGGCTGTCCTTACCACTTTCTGAATGGACTTTCTATCTGAGGCACTGCAGCCACAAAACCAAACAGTGATGCAGTTTGTTAAAATGCTGTAAAAAGTGGCCAGGATAGGAGAAAGATGTGCTCTCCTCATCTGATGCAGGAAATACATTAGTATGAAATCGTGCAAATGAAAAATGAGAGGATACTGCATGAAATGACAACAAGAGAAAGCCTGTGGACAAGAAAAATATACTTAACTATAATTTAAATGCATTTTTGCATCTTTTCTCTATTTAAGCATTGTAAAATATAATTCCCTAATCCAATTTAAGCATTGTAAAATATAATTCTCTAATCCAATTTGGATTAGAGAATTATATTTTACAATGCTTAAATAGAGAAAAGATGCAAAAATGCACTAAAATTATAGTTAAAGATAAAGGTTCCCCTTGTACAAATGTGCTAGTCATTCTTGACTCTAGCAGGTGTGTCATCTCTGTTTCAAAGCTGAAGAGCCAGCACTGTCTGAAGATGTCTCCGTGGTCATGTGGCCGGCATGGCTAAACACCGAAGGCCCATGGAATGCTGTTACCTTCCCACCAAAGGTGGTTTCTATTTTTCCTACTTGCATTTTTACATGCTTTTGAACTGCTAGGTTGGCAGAAGCTGGGACAAGTAGCGGGAGCTCACTCCATTATGCGGCACTAGTGATTTGAACCGCTAAACCGCCAAACTGCCAAACCTTTCTGATCAACAAGCTCAGCGTCTTAGCCACTGAGCCACCGCATGCCTATTCTTAAATTATAAGGAATAGTTAAGAAAAAAAATTTAAATAGGTTTTGATGGAAATTAAAAGCAGAAAAAGAAAAGAAAAACTCTAACAATGAGAAGAATGATGCAACAATTGAGGGAATGTTAAAAGGAATGTTTTATTTACTTAGGTGATAGATATATCTCACCTTATATAGAAGAGCTCAAAATATATAGCATTGTTATATGCTTATGTTAATAAATAACACAAGTCCTATGTTTATCTATAATATCCCTATAGGATAGGTTGGACTAAGAGAAAGTTACTGGCCCCAAGTCACCCAGTGATCTTTGTCTGTGAGTAGATTAGAACATAGCTCACCAAGAAATTATATGAATGTAAGAAGTCAAGTTAATTGTATGAGCATTCAGAGGAGGTCTATGATAAAGCAAACAATGTTAAATTATGGAATATTTTGTACAAATTATAAAAGTTACTTGAAAATAAGAGGTCTATATGATGGAAATAAGCATGTTTGAGAATAAATGGAATACTTAGCAAACAGTTCAGGATTGAGTAGTTAGTAAGACAGGGATTGATGCTTTTTGGTTAAGTATATTAATATAAATGTATAAGAAATACTTGTAGTGGATTTAGAGATTTGTTGCTTAAGGATGTGAGTATTCATGAACTTTTATCCTTGTTGATTGAGAACCCAAATTATTTCCAGAAAATATGAAGATTGTTTGATGGATCTGGAAAAGGAAAATGGATCTGATGAAACACCAAGTTGCTTTGTTTTGAGTTAGCGAAGTGAATAATTGCACACAAATGACAAAAAAATAGAAAGGTGGATGCATTATAGCCTTTCATACAATGTTTACTGAAGATGGAGTACAGGTAGTCCTCATCTTATTATAGTTACTTACTTAAAATAGTTTGAAGTTATGATATAGACATTTCCAAAGTTACTTACAACCAAGTTTCATTGCAACTGGTTCACCTTTTTAGTTGTTGTGTGTCCTGCAGTCATATGACTGATTTACAGTGTTGTGGGGTTTTCTTTTGCTAGTTTCTGGTGTTCTGGTTTGTGGAAAAATTGCCCATTGGGGAAAATGGAACTAGAGTATGATCCTGAAGTAGGATCATAAGCACACGTATAGTTTCACTTAGCAACTGCTTAACAACTGAGTTTCTGGTCCTTGCTGTGTTGCCTAAATGAGGGTTAGCTGTTTGCTACTTTTTCTTCATGACTTTAATTTCTTGGGCTATTTCTTTCTCCTTTTCTACGTACTGCTTAATCAATACAAATAAAGAAATAGATATGTACATGTGCTTTTAATGAAATGTTATGTTAGCTGGTTTCCAGAATATATGTTAGCAGAAAGTTTTTTATTGTTTATTCTGTTTTATGAACTTAATCATAATTAATTATAGCTTTCATGTTTCAGAGTGGACCAAAAACAAACAAACCTAAGTATATTCTAGGACTGTTCCATGATTCCCACATTCAAATCAATAACTTAAACTTCTAGTTAAGTCTCTTTGCTTTTTCTGAAATTTAGTTAGCTAAACTTGAGTGATTATTTTTCCCAAAGTGAACATATGCCACAGAGTTTAGCAAATGTTAACCTGGTTAGCAGCCAGGGTTATTTAATTTTAATATTTATGGTAGCTAGCTTTCTGCACACACAGTAGAAAGAACTCTTTGATTGATTTATATGGCCACACACTTCACACAATAATTCAGAGTGGTGTATGTGGTTAAAATAACACTTTGCCATCTAAACCACAATCTAAACCAAAGTTTAGATAATAGATCCAGTTTAAAAAAGTAGTGTTGCTAGGAGAATTCACACAGCCTCCTGGCCCAATCTCCTGGGGAATGAAGCATTAGGTTTTCAGTGCCTGATGAATGTCAGGGCCAACTAGATTACCAGAGAGATGCTGGCATTGTCACAGAGAAAGAATGACTCCTATATCCAACAAGATAACATTGTTTAATGGAAAAGACCCAGAGCACATCCTCCCAGCTAGATTTGGTAGGGTAAACAGAAATGATGGGAGAATCATTTCCACATTATCCTAAAATTACAAGTCATTCCACTTAAATTTGTAATGGATAGAAAACAAGACAAGATGTTTGTCTGGAACGGTATAGGGTTTTCTGCCTAGGCAGGGGGTTGGACTAGAAGACCTCCAAAGTCTCTTTCAATTCTGCTATTGTATTGTATTGTATTGTATTGTATTGTATTGTATTGTATTGTATTGTATTATGTTGATATATATGGGTTTGGGCATGCAAATCATTCATGGTAGCCAGCAAAATATAGGTGATTATATTTACTGAATTCTGGAGATTAATTGATATGTACATGTAATGATGGTGGTTTTGAATTTCATTTATAATACCCCTAGATAGAGAAAGCAATGGATTTTGTCTGCCATCTCAACAGAAGCGGGGTGAACCCTGGAGGAAACATGCTTCATATTCCTGATATACTGTATATTGTATTGTAACACTTCAAATAGGTTACAACTTTGTTAAGTAATCTGTGCCAGAATTCATGGCAAGCTATGACAAGCCATCTCATTTTCACATGAGAAGAATACTCTTATGATATATTACAGTGTAACCTAGGGAATAATTGATTCATTTTTTAAATGTGTCTGCTCTATCTTTGTTATAGATATTGCTCTCCTTCTCAAAGGAGTCTAAGATTCTGGTTATGTATGCTGTCGCAAGTAATGAATTCTGTACAGTTTTTGAGGATAATGTTTCAGACTAAAAAAAACAACTGATTGTTTTTTCACTCTAAAACATTATTATCAAAAACTGATAGTTTTTTCGTCTCTTTTTATATGTTGATAGGCTAATTTATGTTTAAAACTTTCCTTACTGGATTTTAGGTCTTTTGCTATTTTATTAAGTAAAGATAAAAATCATAATGTTTAACATGATTCTTCCTGCCTTTCTGAATGCATCCACATAGGGGATTTTTTTTGGAAGTAATACAGATATAGTTTTTTACTGTCTCCTTCTGGGTTGTTTGTTCAGTTTGAATATTTGATCAATGAAATCTCAATTCTGAGGTTTATAAAGTCCAACAAAAATCAAATTTTATTCCCACTGTTATCTGGCTTTAGCTCTCATTTGATTTATTCACATATTCAAATGGCGAAGCACCAGAAACATCGACAATCAGGAACTCTCCAAATTTTAGTCCAACGTATTTCAAATATGCTGGATTGAGAAATGTGAGTTTACGGAATGCTAAATAAATAACCTCAGGTTGTAGAGAAAAAAAGACATTGATACCAGAAATTGAAAATGTAATGTCTTATAAACTAAACCAAAGCCATCATAAATTATTTTTAGAACCCTACAAAAAGCTTATAGTACAACAATGTTATTAATGTAGAACATTAATCCAGTCCTGTAAAAACGCCTCACATTATGGTGTAATGCTACTCAATAAGAATATTGCATTGTGCTAGTGCTTCAGGCAAATAATATTACAGTTATGGTGTTGAAGGAATTGCAGCACTTATGAATTCTTACTCTGTGAAGCTTGTTAAGATAAAGGGTATAGAGTTAATGTATTTTTTATAAAACTCTGAGAAATGTTTTTACACAGTGATAAAAAGCATCAAACATTCATATGCTTTTTGCAGAAGGAAGCAGAACGTTTGCAAGAGAAGGAAACTACTAAACAAGATATGTCGCTCTTAGATTTGGATGACTGTAAGTACTTGAGATATTTGCCTTTAATTGTGTTATTTATTTATATTTGGCCCTGCCAATTAAATTAGTTGAATTCATCTTTTTTTAGAAAAAAGGTACTTCTAATAGTCTTGTACAGATATGTTAACATATCTGCATGTTCAAACTGAGTCCTTTTCTTAAGTTATGCAATGTAATAACTAATTTCAGAAATCCTGTATAATATATTCAAATCTCTAATTATTCTTTCTAAAAATGTTAATGTGAAAATCTCTCTTTCTGTAATAATAATATACTATATAAGACTTAATATATTTTTATAATTCAGTTGCATTTTAAGTGAGAATATAGATAATTATAATATTTTTATTCAGAAATATACTTTAAATGATAAATTCCTGTGATGATGCTAGGAAAAATGTAGCCTCAATTATAAATAAAAGAACAGGAACAAAAAGCAATAAACTTGGAAATGATTTTTTTTTAATGACACTTAACTTTACATTGCCAGCTCCATTTTTCACAGTATGAAACTTAGAGAGGGTAACTGGGGAAAGAAGGAATTGGCATATGTTGACCCCACTTCTGCTAGTATAATTCTGCTGAGTGGATTCTCCTACCAGCAGAAGCAAAGTTGGAATCCAAGATTTCTGTTTGAAATATCTTATAATTTCAAAATACACATATTTTATAGTGGTCTTTGTATTGTATTGTATTGTATTGTATTGTAGTACAAGGAATGTAAAGTACAAAAATCCAAGCTTTTAAAAATGGTCAGACACTCTCAATCTCTCCCTCCCTCCCTCTGTCCCCTCTCTCTCTTTTTCTCTCTCTCCATATATAACATTTCCATGGTTTATTTTCAGCTCTACATATATTATAACGCATTATCAGCACAAATTTTATTACAAATTTACAAGTATGCAATAGACAATGTATTTGGATTTTCAGACATAAAAGTTGCACCATTACAAAAAAAGAGTGAAAATTATACAGTTGGAAGAGAGGCCATTGAGACTAGCGCTCTGCTCAATGTCGGAATTCAGCTTAAATCATCACTGGCAGGTGGTTGTTCAGTCTCTATTTGAACATATCCAGCTGAGGGGAGCCTGCCACCTCTCTAGATAATTTGTTTCACTGTGGAAGTTTTTTCCTAACATTCAATTAGAATTCACCTTCCTGAAATGTAAGACCAAATAAAACTGTCCATATGTAATGCCATTATATGATACAACTCCACTTGGAATACTGTGCACAGTTCTGTTAACAATACCTTAGAAAACATAGTGAAGAGCTGGAAACGATGCAGAAAATGGCAATCAAAATGATTAGACTGTAGAATGCCTTCTTTGCAGTGAAAAATACATCATTTGAGGTGCTTTAGGTTAATGCAGAAGTAGATAAAAAGTGATATGATAGAAATTTGTAAAATCATATATAGCATAAAAATGTGGTCATATATAGTAGAATTTCCTCAGAATGTTAGAATTTGGGTGTATAGTTACTGAACCTAAATGTGGTAAAATGAGAACTAATAAAAAGAATTTATTTTCAGAGCAGAAAAGCTATCAGATATGGTGATGGCATTTAGATGATTTTAAAAGAAGACAAATGATTGGAAGAGAGAGGTATTAGTGCCATCAGTCTTTATGGCTTTAAATCACAGACTGTAAATCTTAAGTACAACTTTGTAGGGAGTAACTGGTATTCTGAGATTGTGCTTTCAGGACCCTGTGACATAGAATACTGGGCTAGATGGGTGAAGTGATATGGGAGAACCCTTATTTTCTTATGTTGCCGTAGAATCATAGTCTTAGTCATATGATTTATTTATATATGTATTCAATTTTAATTATTTTTCTTAATCACATTATTTTCTTCAGTCAGCCCTGCACCAGCTCTTACTACCTTTTGCAAGCCATCAATTCTCTCTCCCATCTTAGCAGCAGACCTAGAAGGTTTAAGTTTATCAAGTTCTTCAGTCATTGATGTAAGTAATTATGAACTGATTTATTTTTATGCTTTTAAGTATGTTTGTATCTTCAACAATTTATTATTTGGACTGTTCCTCTTCTCTTTAATATATTTGAAAGTGGAAAGCAGGGACAGCAACAGGTTTTGAGTTTAAAATGCGCAAGTTTATATAATGTATTCATAGAAGTTAATTTTATAAATTAGCATTACATTTTTTTTAACCAAAAGCATTTTCTGCAACATTATGCCATTTCTTTCCTACCAGGATTTGCATCAACTTTTATAAGGAATTCCTATCTAACAAAGAGCTCACATTTTAATCTGACTATATTATGCTACATAGTTAAGAGAATATTGCATGCTAATGAGACATCTGAAGATAGTGAGTTTTAGAAAAACAATAGTGATTGTCCAAAGCATAAACTATTCTCAGCACATTATGACTCAAAATTTTGTTCTGGGTGTTTGACAGCCACAGCAGTAATTCCTTAGTTGCTGCATTGGTCTATTGAACTGAGTGCCTTTCTCTTGTGTTTTTTTTTTTAAAGAAATACAGTGGGATTTACTTCTGCTATATGCTATATTAAATTTAATAGTTCATATATACACATTGAGGAAACTTCACTGTAAAACAATAAAACCAACATATTACAGTTATATGTGGCTTTCTTCTTACCTAAAAATTAAAATTTGGACACAAAACGTTACAGTTTCATAAGACTGCCTGTACTAAACCAGTCTGCAAGAGAAACATAATTATTACATTGATTTTTTAAAAGATCATTTGTCTGGATTCTACAGGTGTAATATTATGACGGGGGGAAAATAAGGCCACAGAGACAATGCTTTTATTTATATCAACATAATTTGTAAAATACCACTCCAAGCTTTCAAGATTCAAGAAAGGAAAATTAAGAAAATTGGTTGGGCTTTCTGGTTGGAAGAAATGGATGCTCTAGCATTGGTTCACATAGGTCTATATACTATACTATATTTTACTATATACTAAATTTTCTAATGTAGACTGATACAGGGACTACTTCAATATAATCTCTCATGTTTTTTCTTACCCTTTCTTCTCTTCCCACATCCAAATTGCCTGATAGAATTTTTGACATTCAAGTTGCCAGTTGTTTTGTACAACTTCGGTTGGCCTAATATAAATATTGCCTCCATGGATTTTGTATTGATCTTATTTAACTCTGTGATTTGTATGGCAGTTTACTATTTATAATAAAGTAGTTTTCCTCCTATAAAACTAGTTTATCCTATGTACTTAATATTTGTGTGCCACTATTTGTTGTTTACATTGTATGTGATAAAGTCTATAAAATGCATGGAACCTAGTGAATATAGAACAGAAAAAGTATGAAATAAAGGATAAAAGATCTAACAGTGAAATCTTTTTAATGTACTTACAAGAGAAAACCATCATGTCTAACCAGTGGTTCCTATTAATTCACAATACTTGTATATGTTTCTCAGTTTTCTTTTTATTCACATTAATTGTATAAAAAAGTTGACCATCCTTCTAACATTTCCCTTGTTTTGCAGAAAGGATGCTGGGTTTAAATATTTGGGGCAAAAGCAAACTGTAACAATTATAGAGTCATATTTTGTTAGGAAAAGATCATTAAATTAATCTAATCCAATACTTAGTGCAGAATTCTTACATCAGCATTGAGAACTCACCATCTTTTAAGGCAGAAGTACTATGAGGCTTGAAGAATTTTTTCAGGTGTGACTTTCAGATGGAATAAGGTACTGCCATTGGAAAGAGGAACCTGAGAAGTGTTAGTGCATCATGGAACAAATGTTGGATTCTTAGGATATGTGTTAGCTTTATTACAGGGAAATATCTGAAATGGTAAAAGTTTAGTTTTTAAATTACACAGTTATTTAGAGCAGTGTTTCTCAACCTTGGCCACTTGAAGATGTCCGGACTTCAACTCCCAGAATTCCCCAGCCAGCGAATGCTTTAGAGAGTACTCTTTCAGACATGACACTTTCCTTAGAAATACTTCCATGTTGAGAAGGAAAAGTTTGAATGGAAATAGGAACCATTTGACCATGTTAAGAAACTAATACACAATGTTCTGAATGTCAAATAGTGTCAAATATCAACTATGCTTATCTATGTAAGATTGAAAGATTCCTGGTGAAAGCATGTCATCCTTTCAAGCTATAACTCTCACACAATGGCTAAAATCAAATGAAGGCAATGAATACCTTGGTTGATTCTGACTTACTTGATCAAGGAAGCATACTGATTCTGCTTAGTTTTGATAACAAAAAATAATTAAACTAGGAAATAAGCATTCACCCTTATTGTTAAATCCAAAGCAGGACCCCTGAATTATTTCTTTCTTCATAATCTAGAACTATATGTCAGGGTTTCTTCTTGGCTTAGAATATTCACTTTATTTTATTTTATTTATTTACCTTTATCAAAGCTAGATACTTTTATCTTGTAACAATACTTTTTTTAATGTACCTGATTTAAAAAGATAAATGCAAAAAATACTTAGTTTGCTTTATTTCTTTCCTTTAGTACTTTTTAATTTCCTTGTTATCCAGCAGCTCTCTTAAGTGCTTCCTATCTTGGATGCATATAGAAAAAATTGTTATGGTTGGTCCTAATTTTATTAGCAGTCTGCAGCTGAAAAATCTTTTTGCATTTGTTTCATGCTGATTTGTATTCCTATACAGACTTTCTGCAAGTATGGCCTTATATAGAATGCATTCGAGTAATCAGGTGGATCATGACCAAAATATGATTTAAGGAAGATGTCAGCTGTAATTATTAACTTTTCTTGTATTTCTTGAAAATATAAGGAAAATAAATAGTGAAAAAGTGATTGCAAACTACAGACTTGGCCACAATTAAATGTTTCTATGTTAGGTTTTTTAAATAATTTCCTATGTAATCTAATAGAACAGAGCTTGTTGTTTCTATTTGATATATTGCTTGTATCAAACATTCGCTTCTAGCACTTCTTAGAATTATGTTAGAGAAGACTACCTCTTCTCTGGTTGATTCCATAACTAGATTCTAGTATAATCAGTAAACCTACTATGAAATCTTATGATGTTCTTTCCTTGTGAAACTAAAAGTAGACCAATTTTCCCATCCAGTTTGAAACATGCATTTCAAGTTAACATCCTTTTGAAATTAGGACACAATTCTATGCTTTCTTCAACAAAGTTGATCAATTTTGATTTGTGCTTCCAAAGACTAATCTGTCTCAAACTACATTCTTTTGAATTAGGACAAGAAATTAATCTGCTAATACTTTAGTTAATGTTGCCCATTGAAAGTCTTCAGCAGAAGATGTAGAATCAAGAGCAAAGCTAAACAGTATCTTTCATTAAATTTGGTCTGCTATCCAAAGCCTCAAGGATATCTTGATACTGAATCATCCACTTTGCCAAGATTTTATTTGCAGATATTTCCCCCTAGTCCCATCTCCGTTCCAATATTGTAACCTGTTTGGAGACAAATCACTAAAGGCAAAACTTTTCAGTGAGAGCAGGGATTCATTATCTGAAAACTGCATAGTTCTTTTATTGTTTAAATTAGATCAACCTATAATTCTTTTGTCATTGGGTAGATCTACAGCTGACAGATACGATTGGTGCTGATAGTTTACTTTTAAAATAGAAGTGCTTTATAAAAATTAGACATAGAAGGGCACACTAAATTATGTACAGTAAAATTAATACAGAAAAACATTTTAACATACCATACACTGAGGTAAAAGGTCTAAAAAACAAAATAACTGTGTATCAAGTAACTTATATCTTAAAAATTAAGTCAGCACAGCCACCTGGTACAAATGGCAATGATGAAAAAATGTCAAAAGCATGTTGCAACTATATGACATAAAGTCTAGGCCAGTGATGGCGAACCTATGGCATGTGTGCCACAAGTGGCACACGGAGCCATTTGTCAGGGCACGCGAGGCACTGCCCTGTCAGCTGGCCAGTGTGCATACGCGCGCTGGCCAGCTGAGTTCACCCTTTTTAAAGCCATTTTTTGCCCTCCCCAGGCTCCAGAGGCTTTATAGGAGCCTGGGAAGGGCAAAAAGAGCTCCCCCCGAGGCCCTCCGGAGGCTTCATGAGCTTCCGTGAAGCCTCCGGAGCGCAAAAAACCAGAAGTTCGGGAATGGACTTCCAGTTTGCTTGGAGGTTTGTTTTGAGCGCTCCGAAGGCTTCAGGGACCTTCAGGAGGCTTCCCTGCAGCCTCCGGAGCAGTCAAAACGACCCTCCGAGCAAACCGGAGGTCACACATTGCATTATGGGTGTGGCACACCCGCACACAACCCCCCCTGCGCTCCCCACTTATGGCAGGCGAGCCAAAAAAGGTTCGCCATCGCTGGTCTAGACTTTCATACTTTAGTTTCATATTGGATGCTAGTAACAAATCATGGGATTTGCAACATGATATGTTTTGTTATTTGGAATGAAGGCTAATGAAAGATTCAGGATGATGTTCCATAGTCTTATTACAATAAAGAAGATTAAGGACACAGATCCTTATATCTAGACCTTCTGTTGAAGAAGACTTAACTTTCATAACAAGGAGAATTACTTGCAGCTATTAGGATCATATAAACCCTTTGTCAGATGCAATGATTTCTGTTCAAATGAATTATAGATTCAAGTTGTAAACTATTATATTTTGCTGCAATACAATATATTTACAATTTTTGTATCCTTTAAAAATTAAAAAGTCCCAATTTAACTAATAAAACTATTAATAGAATTATGATTGTTATATTTGCACCTTATTTGGACAGCATCAGAAATTTTAAGTGCTGCATATGGAAATATAGTTGTTGAAGTAGCAATAAATTTCTATTTAAAGTTTATACATATCAGAAAACATAAATACATAAAAAATTGGATAGTAATGCTACCTTATTTTTCTAGATAATTCACACACACACACACATTCACATATAAGTCATATATAGCAAATTTTAATACAAGACTGCTTTCAAATATTTTTGATAT